CCTCTAAATAGCAGGTTGAGGTTAGGAATAATTTCTATTTGACTTGCCTATCTATTTTGCCCTAGGCAAAATAATCATTTTGGAATCAAACATTCAGTGTCACTCACACTGATTGAAAATGGCAATGCATTCTTTTTTCCTACTCTTGGTTCTAATCACTGGTAGATTGGCATGAACCAGCTGGAAAATGTGAATCACAAATATGTGTACTATTAGTGAAATACATGTATAATATACATGCAGTATGTGCAAATATATATATGTAATATATGTGCAGTATGAACAAATATATTTGTTACCCTAGGTACTCTGAGGGTAGCTAATTTTGGACAGGTTCATTTTCTCTCTTCGGTTGTTGGATCTTAGACATGATAAGTGGGTATGATATCTGTATCTGATAAAAAAAATAAGGGGGGGGGTACCCCAGAAACAAGGAACAGACTGAAAACAAAATAAAGTTTATTTATTTATTTATTTCAAGAGAGAGAGGTGGGGGGAGGGGCAGAACGAGAGGGAGAGAGAGAGAAGTCCAGGGAGGCTCTGCACTGCTAGAGTGCAGAGCCCGATGCGGGGCTTGATTTCACAAACCACTAGATCAAGACCTGAGCAGAAATCAGGAGTCAGCTGCTTAACAGGCTGAGCCACCCAGGTGCCCCGAAAGCAAACAAATAAAATGACCCAAAAGGGAATGTGCTCATCTCTAAGTGAGAAGACAACCAACACCTTTTTTCATTTTTTATTTTGGAATGACACACTTTTTCTTCCATTTCTAGAGCACTGCCGTGTTCTGAGTTCTGTGTTCAGGTGCAGAGGCCCAGGGGCTGGTACAAGCGGCTGGCAGATGTATTCAGGTGCTACAATCCCAAGCTAAGGGGGGTTTTCACAGACGTGCACAGGAGGTCTGGCGGTGCGACGGGACTGCAGCCCCTCGGCAGGACAGTGGATTCATGAAAGATGTCTCATCTTTAAGAAATGTTCTCGAGGCCACAGTGATTGAAATCGGCTAGAGTAGAAGATAAATCCCCAAAACCTCCTTAAGCCTGTGGCAAGTTAATTACAAAAATGTCCTTAGTTGTGCCCTTCCCTGTATCCACTCCCCTTGTAACTGGGCTTTGCCACCCCCTCCCCCTCAAGGAGGGGAGTCCATTTCCCCTCCTCCTGAATGTGAGCTACCCTTGTAGCTTGGCCAAAACCACAGCATGTGGCAGAAGTGACAGTGTCCCAGCCCAAACCCATGCCTCAATTCTGTGCCTGCTTCAACTCTCTCTCAGAACCTTGCCTCTACCATAGGAACAAAACTCGGCAGGTCTGTCGGATAATGAGGGACACAGGGACCAGCATGGCAGCCAGCCAATAGCCAAACAGGTAAGTGAGGCATCCTGGGACATCCAGTGCCCGGCTGACCAGCCAGCTGACCACTGAGGCAGGGGAGAGCTCATCAGAGACCAGCCAAGCCTGGGCCACCCTGGACCAAACTTATGAGGAGTAATAAATTTTCATTATTGAAGCCACTGAGTTTTTTGGGTGGTAAGTCATATAGCAATATCTAACTAATAAAACTCAGCCAACCAGTGTAAATACCAAGATGCCACCACTAAGTGGAGGCACCTTGTTTACTTACATGTATCCTACCACACACAACATGCAGAAGAATCTCCAAAAATTACTGATGGCCTGACACAGTATCCCCAAGAAGCAAGCAGTGATACCCTTCTTATGGAGAAAGTACATGGGTCCACAGATGCAGTGCTTCGGAGAGTACTTTTGGCTGCCTTGTAAGCACTCACATTCCAGAAGAACTTACTGCTCTCGGCTGAGAGCGCTCCTGCATATGTCTGTAGTCAATTAACTCGCCTTTTTTTTTCACTCCATTGAACTTAAAGAGCAGCCAGCGTCTGTTCAGAAGCCACACACCATGTTCCCTCCTGCCTACAACCGTAGCAATAAACCAGACAGCTTTCTGGTTCACTGTAAAAACTCTTTAGAGGAAGACAACATGGTAACAATAAAAACACCACCTACAGTGAGACATTCAGAACCTCATCACCAAGTCTCAAGTACACACATGAAATAAAAATCAGGACCCTCTACCCTGAGTAGATAGGAAACCAAAAATAACATGTTAACTGCCCAACCTCAGCCAGCCCTGGAGAAAACATGCTTTTTGATGTTGCACTGTGTCCTGGAGGGAAAAGGGCACTGGATTGGAAGTCAAGAGGTATATTACTGTCCTTGTTCTACCTTGTTCTAGAATAACTGTGGCCATGTCCCCTGGACACTTCAATACCAGATAACTGCTGAGGATTCTTCTAGTCCCATAAAATTTCACGCTCTCATCTTGCTGTCTGAGCCCTTTGAGTTTATATCTGTGAACAAGTGTACAGAATTCGACATGATGTACCAGAAAGACCTCTGCACTGAGACTACTGAGTCCTACCCCTGCCACCAGTGCATCAGTGGCCCTTAAGCAAGTTCTAGCTCTCTGCATGTCAGTTTTCCCAACTGTCAAATGGGTCATTCATTTGGACTAAATGATCTCTAAGGTCCTTTCCAGCTTAAAATGCCTGATTTAATAATCAGGCTCCAAGGTTATATGTTTCATAATTGATTTCTTTTTCTTTTTAATTAATTTATTTTAATGTTACAGTGATTTATTTGGAGAGAGAGAGAGAGAGAGAGAGAGAGAGAGAGAGAGAGAGAATTCCAGCAGGGGAGGGATAGAGAGAGAGGGAGTGAGAATCCCAAGCAGGTGCAGGGCTCGAATTCACAACTGAGAGAGTATGACCTGAGACGAAATCAAGAGTTGGACACTTAACCAACTGAGCCACCCAGGTGCCCCTGTTTTATAAATGATTTCTAAGAAGAGATTCTGACCAAGACTTAGGCACACAGAGTCTAAAAAAATATTTAGGTAGTCGTTTCACAGAGCCAGAGGCAAGTCAGGCTTTTTGATTTCCGATAAGGAGGACCAGTGGGCTGTTATTTGTGGAAGTACTTCTGGTGCCAAGAAAAATGTCATCTTCTACCAAAACTAAGTGTATTCTATACCATGACAGTTGTGCAACATTTTGTTATGCCCCACAGTGTTCTAGGAAGCTTGGCAGGTACTATGGACCTAAAGTGGCCCAAGAGATGCCCTAGAACTAATGCTTCTGTGTCAAACTGAAACTCAAACACAAGGTCCTCCACACAGTCTTTGTAACACAAAGACAGAGAAGGTCAATTTTCGGGACCCAGCCACTTCCAAAAAGATAAGACAGACACACTCTGTGATAGAAGCTTTTCTAAGCATGGATCTGGGGAACGCCTGATGGATGTGTCACCAAGGTGTGACTGTATTCACTTGAACTCACTGTATTTCAAAAAGTGGAATGGAAAGCCAGCACCTTACAAGGTAGTAGTGTAACAATGACATATTGGAATATGCCATCATGGCCAGACTCTGGAGAAACTCTAACAGACAGAAAAGCTGTCTCTGTACATCTCCACCCCGTCATCTGCCATCTTATACTGCCTTTGATTGGGCTTCAGATGTGTTTTACGATACGGTTGGACTGCATTCCACTCTGGCTTTGGGATACCTTCTACCCATGTTCTTTAAGCAAACAAAAAGCTAACTTGTCCTTTACCCTAATGGACTTATCTCTACCTTTCTTTTGGTGGGCAACTGGAATAATGGATTAATCCCCTTGCTGTTGACTAGCTTTATGTGTTAGACATAACGTACAATGCCCTAATCCCCAAAAATGGCTTCTGAAGGAATTCATAAAGGATGGGGAAATGAGGAAAAAAAAGACCTAATATCTTTAACATCATCAGTTATGAAAGCAATGCAAATTAAAACAACACAGTGCCATTTTTCATTTATCATATTGACAAAGAAGGTAACCCTCGATGCTGGTTAAGGGTGTCATGTGGCACACTAGAAATTGGTATAAAACTTTCGAATTATGTACCAGGAAGCTTAAAAGTTCACACGCCCTTCAGCCCAGTATTCCTTTTAGGACTCAACCTTAAAATAATATCATAAATAAGGGCAGAGATTGTTTAGTATGTCTGGAACACACTATGATCAACAGCACATATATTAACTACAAAACATACATCTAGGCAATAGCATTTTACGGAGTCATCAAAAATTATGTTTTTTGATACTATGTGAAACAATTTTAGGTAATATATAAATCTGTCATATGTGATATTTTCTCAAATGACTTATTTAAAAAATAAAACGGGGATAAAATGTTAATAGTGATCTTCCTAGATTAATACAGTGGAAGATGGTTTTAGTGCTTTTTTTAAACCTTTTTCTTTATTTGCCCATTTCAAAAGATAACGAGTACAAATTATTCTTAAGATCAGAAATAAAATTCCTTGAAAAATCATAACAAAACAAAGAAAGTTTTTAAAGGCCACGTGAGTCAGATCTTTAAGAGTCAAGCAGTCTGTTGAAGATCTGTCGATCTCAGGATGTGCGGCCTGACCTTCCCACTCAAATATCCAGAACAAGACCATGAGCATGAAAGTTGCTTCCACGACTTGGTGAGGCCGATGAGAGCAGCGGCCCTGAGCAAGGCACCCACCCCCCTGCCTCCCACCCCTCATTGGAAGCAATTAGAGAAAATTAGCTCTCTACACGAGGAAGCCAACTACAAGCTTCGCCAGCAGGAACCACTGCAGGATGGAAAGCATGTCACAAGGCATGTTGAACCACTTATGGAAGGTGGATGGTAAATCTGGCCTAATGAAGACTGTATACACCCCTTCTGTTGGCTCCCAGCCAGTCAACTAGTTTAGTCTGGATCTAAGAGGAAAACAACACGCTCTTCATATTCAGAGTGGGAAGTACTGAGTAGCTCTAAGTTAATGGCTTCTTTTGAAACTGACAAAGAGAAAGAGAGAAGGAGAGAGAAGGAGAGAGAGGGAGAGGAGGGAGGGAGGGAGGGAGGGAGGGAGGGAGAGAGAGAGAGAGAGAGAGAGAGAGAGAGAGAGAGAGAGAGAAAACTTACCATCCAGCCAAAGCCCTGGTCTGACATTGTGCAGATTGTACTCTGCCCACCAGGGGCACAAATACACCATCCTAATGGTGCCCTGTGCCCAGTTACATTCCATCTCAAGCTTTTCAAGACATTTAAAATCCCTATAGCCTTGATTATCGTTGAACAGCATCCAGTTAAAACTCGTGTCATCCAGTTCCTAGTGCACCAGCCTCTGAGAGTTGGGTAAATTTTCAGAAAGGGGAGTTGTTCACCTAACTTTCACCTTCAAGCCTCAGAATATCCTTATACCAATACTCATAAGTACTCTCATATCTGAAAGTGATGACTTAAATGCTTCTTGGTCTTGTGTAAATGTACTCGTTTTAAACAAATTTTCTCATTGTGATAAAATACAGAGAACATAAAAGTTGACATCTTAACCATTTTTAAGTGTGAAGTTCAGCAGTATCAAAAACATTCACGTCTTTCTGTAACCATCACCACTAACCATCCTCAGAACTTTTCTATCTTCCCAAGCTGAACCGTCATACACATTAAACAATAATTCTGTGTTCTCCCACACCACAGCCCCTGAGAACCATCATTTTACTTTCTGTCTCTATGCATTTACCTATCCTAGGCTCCTCATAGAAGTAGAATCACACTTTTGTGTCTGGCTTATTTCACTTAGCATAATGTTTTCAAGTTGAACCAAAATTTTGAGCTAACAAAATCTCTAAGCTGATAAGCTGTCATGTAAAATAATTCTTCCTTATTTCTAGTTTCTTGCACTTTCCTTTTCAAAAGTGTCTTTTGACCAGGGCTTCCTTTTGAACAGCCCGAGTCCTGGTAAATTGGACAGACTCTCTCACAGACTCTTTACACTGCCAATGGAAGTATCAGGCAGAATTTAGATAACCACTTGGTGGGGATATTGTAGAAGTTTGAATTAGATGAGCTTAAATCTCTCATTCTACTCTACAACCTGGTGACTTTTACAAATGCTTTTGTTTGTTCCTTCATTTATTCACCATAGGAATTTGTCAGCACTTACTGAGTACCTACCGCATGTAAATGATGGCTGTTGACACAATGTGGTGACTGATGATATTGACTTGGCTCCCAACTTCTGCAGCGGAATCAGGAACTTGGGCACTGCCCTAACAGACTGGCTTTTGCTCTCAATCAGCTGGCACTGGTGAGTAGACCCCGGGAGGACTGCCAGTTACCTCCATGCCCAAGTGGAGACTTTGGCTTCTGGTAGAGGTTCCTTAGTGGTGCTACTCTATATACTAGCCAGAAAAACATAGCAGGTTCAAATACCAATCTGGGTACTGAGAGTGCCTACTGAAAACTAGTATTGCCTAGAATATAATCTAGACATATCAAGCACTTTTGGAATTTGAATGGGAATGCACAAATGACTCTCCTGCCGCCAATTAACCCTGTGATCTTGGGCAAGTCACTTAAACTTCCTGAGCCTCAGTTTTCATCAATAAAATGGGATGAAAAATACCCATGCCACAGAACTCTTGTAGGAATAAAATGAGTTAGTGCATAACAAGTGACGTGCATGTGGCTTGGCACAGAGAAGGCATTGAAATACTAGGGCCCCTTGCAGAGCACCCCCCTCCAAAGCCACATGCAGCTCTGGAGTAGGTCAGCCCTATACCTGACCTGCAAGCACCAGAATAAAGTTGGAGCATCTCCTGGGCTTCTTTAAGTTTGATGGTTGGGGGCAGGGAGAGTGTGTTTCAAAAAGGCCATCATGTTAGCTTGAGGGAGAGAACTGCCACTTTATCCATCAGCATAATATATCTCAAAAGTGTAAAAAGAGGTTACATCCAAAGAAAACAATCTCGTATGAGTTGGGAATAAGATCTGAGTATTTCTCTGGCTGGCGTTCATAATGGCACAAATCGGGACCTGGGAGTCTCAGGACCATTAACTTCAGGGGCCACCTGTGCAGTGGTGGGTGGCTGAGGGGCATGCCATGCAAGGAGGGACTCATATATCCCCAGGAAGCAGGGTGGAGTTTGGCAACCCACAGAGAGTGATCGTTGTCTGGGCAGAATCTACCCATGAAAGCACACAGAAGGGAGGCACACTGTTCCAGTAAAGGGAAGGGAGTGGTGCTGAGTGGTCTATGAGGATGTGCCCACACACGGGATTCTTCCTGACCAAAGCCTATGGGTAGTTCGCACACGAAGTAGACAGAGCTGCAAATACTGACAGGCTTTCTGAGGATGGCAGGATGTTTGTCTCAAACATCCAAAAATGGAAATTATCTCACTAATTAGAAATGACGCCGTCCAGACCGTGCCTGGAACAGGTCCGGGTTTTCAAAAGTGAGCATGGGGGGGAGGGTTCATTCTGGTTCCTAAGTTTAGATGCTTCAGGTGAGGCTCGAGTTGCATTTTAAACAGATGAACAAGAACTAATTCTTTTTGTTTTGCTGTGTTTTCTTGAATAATTGGGTGTCCTCAGTTTGTTCCTAAATATTTTTATCTTCTAGTTTTTTATTTTTTATTTTATTAAAAAAAATTTTTTTTAACGTTTATTTATTTTTGAGACAGAGACAGAGCATGAGCGGGGGAGGGTCAGAGAGAGGGAGACACAGAATCTGAAACAGGCTCCAGGCTCTGAGCTGTCAGCACAGAGCCCGACGTGGGGCTTGAACTCACAGACCGCGAGATCATGACCTGAGCCGAAGTCGGCCGCTTAACCGACTGAGCCACCCAGGTGCCCCGTCTTCTAGTTGTTTATTAATTCTTTTTGCCCTAACAATTTAATAGCCAAGCTCTCGCTTAGGAATCATTTTTGTCTATTAGAACATTTGCCTCCCTTATTGCTATAATGGGGAAGGTTCATAAACTCACTATTCTCAATTATTTCATGCCATGATATATTAATCCAGGCCCTCTGTGGAGCAGATCCTAAAATGGGATAAAATGTGCAAGGATTTTATTAGGGAAAACGTCTTCCGAGAAAATCGGGAGGGAGCTGAGAAAGATGGGGAGAGCCTTCAGTCTGGCAAGAGCGGAGGGGAGAGGGGAGGGAGGAGGTTAGGCCCAAGTGTCTTAGATGCTGTGCTGTGGAAGCAGGTCTTGGCAAGGGTGTTGGGGAATCATGGAGCCAAAGCTGACCTTCAGGGGAATCCCTATTCTCCCCAGAAGGAGCTGCCCTAGTAGCCATGCCATGTGCAGTCACTGGCTGGGAGCAGCCTGTGGGAAGGAGGATGGCTCAGTGCACATGTCTGACAAAGCCCAGGGCACAGCACTTGGGGTCTTTGGTGGATTACATTTCCTACAGTTGGGAGTTCTTAGGGTTACTGGAGTAGGAGGGTTTCTCAAATTTGGCCCCACTGACATTTAGTAATGAATAACCCTTTGTTGTGGGGACTGTCCTCTGCAGGGAGGATGTTTAACAGCATTCCTGGCCCCTACCTGCTGGACACGAGTAGCACCTTCCCGAGTCTGGACAATCAAAATGTCTACAAATATTGCCAAATGTCCCATAAGCGTCAAAATCATTCCTAGTTGAGAAACACGACACTAGGACAATTTGAATACATTTTGGAAGATTCCTCGGGAAAATTATAAAACCAGTGGGCGGGGTAAAAATATAAATGTTTTGAATTATACATAATGATTATTAAGAAAAATAACTCAGCTGGGGAATTCAAAGTGAGCAAGACTACCCCAGCATAATGATACACCACTGGCTGGATATTAGTTTCTATCCCCAATGAAGTTTCTTTTCCGGAGATGAACTTACAGTCCAGCGTCGTGCCCTAAATTTAAAGACACACAAATAAAGTTTCAAAAATTAAATGGGTACTGTTTTAGTCTAATGTGCCACATTGTGATGCAACACAAGTCACGCTGGCTTATTTTGGAGATGGACAAAAATACCTCACCTGCAATAGCGAACGCACATTACAGGGACACCAGGGGATGACTTCATATTTAACTCACTAGTAACACGCACGTCGGGAATAGAAATCAAATTCAGGAATGAGCAGCTGAGATCCCAGAAGCAAGCATCTCAGACTTGGTTTCACCAAGTCATCGAAGACCCTTTGACCCGCGGGATTCTGCTGGGCCACAGGTTAACTAACACCTGATGTGAGCTTCAACCTGGACGGCAGAGCCGATCCCCACATTTGCATGAAGCAGCGGCCGGGTGTGACTGTTCCTCCCCAGCATGAACCGGGTCCCAACACGGCTCCGTCTCACCTGGACCACTCCAATCACCAGTCCCTCCACCCCCCAGGTCTACCACTTCCTCCTTAGCCCCATTTTCCACATGGCAGCCAGAGCGGCTCCTTTGAAACTGGTCAGACCCCACTTCCCTTTATTTAAAAGCTTCTGAGACTTCCCATTTCCTTCCACTCAAGACACAATTCTCGCTGTGGCCAAGATGGCCCACGTCCTTGCTACCCGGAGCCCGGTGAGGAGACCAGCGGTGTCAAGGACGTCACCTGGGAGTGTGTTAGAAATCATCTCTGGGCCTGCCCCAGACCTACCGAATTGGGGTCTTCACTTTAACAAGGTCCTTGGAGGATTTGTACAAACGGTAGAGTCTGAGAAGCTCAATTCTCATGCTCTGACCTGAGGTTATTTCTCTCACTTCCTCTCCCTCCCCTCTCCCCTTGCTCCCTCTTCTGCAGCTAGTTGGGGCTCCTGGAGACATTTCGACCTGCCAACCATGATCCAGCCCCAGGCTTCTGTTCTTCCAGTCACCGTCTCACTTCTTTCAGGTGCCTGCTCTAATGTCACCTCAGTCGGAAGGCTTTCCTGGCCACAGTAGGTAAGGCCCTCCCGAGCTCCCAGCCCTGTTCTGCCCAGGCCCCTCCCCATCCATGGAACCTGCCTTATTTTAATTCAGGGCACGCATCTCCACCTGCCATGTTATACAGTATATATATATAGTGGTATATCTTCTTATTGTCTGTCTCTGGGTCCATGAGAGCAGGGACTTGACACGTATCTTGCTCACTGTTGGATCCCCAGACCCCAGAGCAGTGCTTCCCACCCAATAGGTTGTTAACAAAGAATTGCTGACTGAACAGGTGACTGAATCGTGCGATCTCATGGGACAGAACACCTGGAGACGGAGAAGCTGCCACAGGAGCACACGGAGCCTGGCTTCTTCTGATCACCTCACACCATCTAGCGCGGCCACCTTGTCAGACATCGTGCGACGCTCTCTTCAAACCGCCCAGAGATGGGCCCAAGGCAAGCGTCTGGCTGTGGGGCGGATTTTCTTCTCAGCAGAGGATAATAAGCCAGATCAAGCAGAGGATATGGGAACAAAGCGCGGGGCCGCCGGCCGCCGTCTGGCACGTGGAAGAATCGGGCTGTGAGTTTCATTCCCACGATGTTTCTCTGGAGAGAGAAATGGCCAAAGTTTCCAAAGTGTACGTGATTTTCTTTTTTCCAGGGAAAGATTAATCTTTACTTCTTCTAAAAAGCAATCTGTTTATACATTTGCTGGAGGATGTGCCTGGAAAAAAATTAAAATAGGAGAACTTGATCTGACACATCTGGAGCAGACGGGCATGTTTTGTTTGGCTTCCTGAAGATGTTTAAATTGGGGTTAAGACGGGGAAGATGGTAAAACTGTGTGAAGACTCAGGTGGCTGGGAAAAGACCAGCGTGGAATGTGAAAAAAGGAGCGGAATAAAATGTAGCAGGCTGAATCATGAAAGCTCTTCCGCTTTCTTGCCCTGTCAAAGCTCTGTTTTGAATGTTAATGGAAAGAAAGGAAACAAAGACATAAGGACAGACTCTGGGCGTTTAGGGTTGAAGAACACTTTGTGTTTAAGAACATTTTGCTCAAATCTATTCTTGGGTCTCCCGAAAGCTAAAAAATAGAGCCTGAAGTATCTTTAGAGAGGAGAAAAGCTTCTCCCACCCACCCTATACGCACCTCAACCTCTTAGTTTTAAGGAAAACTCTTCCCAGGAACCATCGGTGGGTTGAGGATAGAGCCAGCTGACAGAGGAAGTTGTAAATGGGGTCGAGACATAACAGATGTGAAAGTTTGGGAGCTACACGGAAAAGAGCTGTACGGAGATGAGAGAGCGTAGGAACCAGCAAGATGCTCTTGGATCGCACGCATGTTTTTAGTTGCCGAAGCACAAAGAGATTATCTAGTGACCCTTGTCATCATCTTTATTCAGGTTTCCTGCTTGGGATTGATTTTCTTCTTCCCCTGTCCCCCGCCCCCGCTTGTCAGTCCTATAAACAAATTATAAGCATTTGGGGTTCAGCCACAAGGGATATTTGTAAAAAAGAAAACAAAGACATTAATCCTGCCAGTTTTGGAGGAACAATGCTTAATTTTCACGCACAGAGTTATCAGGACTGGGCATTGTTCTGCAGACAGGAGATCACTGTGGATAGAAACCGTGGACTACCTTTCACATATTAAAGAAATGCCAATGGAAATGAGTTTACTAGCCAACAAATCCCACGTAATTCTGTAACTTTGAAAAACATCAGTCTTTAAGGTTTTTTTTTTCTCCCTCATTTCAGGTTCCCAACCTACCACAATCTACTTAAAAAGCAATGTTCTCATTATTACCAATTTTTAGGAATAGAGTGTAATGATTAGGAATTCTAAATCAATTGACATTGCATTTCAAGATGCTGCTTCTAAAAAATGTATCCAGTGACTCGAGCCCTGCGTCGGGCTCTGTGCTGACAGCTCAGAGCCTGGAGCCTGCTTTGGATTCTGTGTCTCCTTCTCTCTCTGGCCCTCTCCTGCTCATATGCTCTCTCTCTCTCTCTCTCTCTCTCTCTCTCTTTTTCTCTCTTTCTCTCTCTCTCAAAAACAAGTAAACATTAAAAAAAATTTAGTTAACACCAACTAAATAAAAGTGACAGAACAGTTCTCTGCAATTGTTCAGGAATACTGCATACCCAACCCCCGACCTTAAACTCTACCTTCCACTTTTTTTTTTCCACTATTAAATGATTGTTTGGTAACAGCAGGTAAGAATAAAGAAGTCATGGTGGTTTACAAATAAAGTAAATAGTACCTTCATGTCTTTCTTTGGAATATATCCTGGCATTTTTGTTCTTTTCTGATTGTTTTTGTGCTAGAAAAAATAACTGCACGTATTCCAAAAGTCAGGAGGGGTTGGGAATCTCAGAGCATTTCTAAATTGCTTCCAAACACTTTAAATGATGAGTTTTTAGACTCGAAAAGACAGAAAGAAAAACAAACCTAAATCTGCCCCACAACCACAAAGCACATGTGCAACTCATAGCAAAGGATGTGTGCATGAATATATGAGGGTAGAATTTGGCCACCACCAGGCTGATAACACGCTTAATCAAATGGCTCATCATTCTGCCTCGACGCATTTTCTCTTCAGACTTCGGCAAATTTATGGAGAAATGAACACAAATTCAGCCAACTAATCCTGGACGCCATCAGCAGGTTCATTATTTTGTCAATCAAAATGCAACTCGTCAGCCCTCTGAACTTCAAAAAATATTTCTTTCAATTGCAAGTGTGCTTATCAATGTTTTCTTCCACCAGATAATTGGATAACAGTCCCAATAGGTGTTTCTGGTTTGGGTGAAGGAAGCACTGATTTATTTTACTGGGAACCATGAATATTTTGGTACAGATCTCTAAGATAACAGAGTTAGCCTGTGAACCACAGCCCAAAAGGTGTATTGACATTTTGATCAATAATGCATGACCCCCTGGGACACAGAGGCAGGGTCAGTTATAGGCCACTTTTGAGGTAGGAATCTGTCTTCAGTGAATGCTCATGGCATTCATTGCTCACTCTCTAGGCCCCACGCCTCCAGCAGCCCAGCACCCCCCTCTGTGTCTACTACAACATTCTAAACTAAATGTGTTCTGAGTCGTCTCCTCCACCAACCTCAAATGGAAAATTACCTGTGTGTGCATCATTCCCTCAGGGTCCTACTTTCTGTTAATGGCCAATGTAATAGATCCTACCAAAGATCTATTACTGGCTCATTTTTAGTTAATAGGTCCCTAACCCAGGAAAAATTACGGTTTAATGTTAGAAGCTTGAAAACTCAATGCTCTAACCTGCATCAATGAAGAGATGAAGTTTCTTGCTGATGCTGACTCACCAAGGCAGGCTGGTGGAAAAAAAATAGCTCTTTGCACCCTACTCGAGGGGGGGCCCGGAGGAAAGCCCAGTCATTGCCTGGACTGCTTCTGTGCCCAGTTAATTTTCTAGAAGGATGCCATGCTGTGTGTCTGGAGCCTGATCTGAAAAGGCATGCCGGGCACTGTCTCACACTCCTAGAGCTGAGGTTGGTTTCAGGAAGTTCCTATGACCCCAGGAACACGAGTATAGGCAAGAGGTCACACACAGAGACGTACACTGACCAATTCCCTAATCCAAGGTGGCTCTCAGGGCTTAGGCGCAGACCCGGTGGTGAGTCCACTCAAAGGTCCATAGTGCAGAAGACGCTTCTGCAAGAGAAGCCGTGCTGTTGACGTACCCATGCTGTGGGGATTCACAAGGCTCGTCCTTGCCCGTGCGAAATTCCAGCAAATCAAGGACCATTGGTTCACATTTAAACGAAAGACTGAAAGACTTGCAATGAATGTAATAACATGTTTTATTAGGAGTTTTTATGTGGGAGCAAAAGGAGTGTTTCCTCCTAATAAAGAATTTAGCCCACTTTGGGGATTTGTGTAGTGGTTCGTACCCAGTCTCTGCTCTTCTGTATCTGCCCCTCATCTGTGAATCTCCCTATCATTAGGCGATGAACCAAATCCTCATACATCCACTTCTTAAATCACACATAAAGAATTTATTGTTAATCATGTTTGAAGATGCTTGATGAAGCTAGTCCTAAGTAGACAGGGTTTGATGTAAAACTTAAATCTCTTCTTTCTCTTTTGCTCTACTTTTCCGACTTTTAGGAAGACTATTTCAGCCTATGGCACACATACAGTTCCATATAATTTCATACAGTTGCTGGCAAGTTTTCTGATTTAGGAGACCTAGGGCTGGGACAGGGCTAAAAAGATAAAGACAAAAAGGTGAGATTCTAAGGAGAGGTAGAAAGGGAAAGAGAGTTAAGTAAAAGGGGCAAAGAAGCTCCAGAACACATTTCACCTAATTTATATTTTGCTAGAACTGGCCTTACCCTCAAATACATAGACCTGCAATAGCTTTCACTGTGCAAGGGTACAAGGTACCTTGTACAAGGTACAGGGACATAAAATTACAGGTGGTGATGAGAGCCAGAATATGTTTGACAAGGATCTAGAAAAAAGAGAGAAAACGGATCTGTAGCATTTGTAGTTTGATTCCTTGCATTTGCCAGTTTCTGTGGCATAAATGTGTCCAACGTGGCCAATTGCGGGCTACCAAAGGGATGTCCCTGGACGTGTGTTAGGAAGAGACATTATATACCGGGCATGTGCAAGCCGGTGTAAGCCAGTTCTCCCTTACTGCTGAGGACCTAAGTTAAGTTGGACCTTCATGCTGTGATTGGTAAACCCAAAGACATAGTACAGGGCATTTCAAGGCAACATGCTGAAACAGCACGCTATCACACTGATTAAATACGCGTTCAAACAATGTCTCCTTTTTGCAGACGAGATTTTGTATTTCCCTATTTTTGCCTCACAAGTATTCCCGTGACTTGGTATCATCTTCAGGTGTGGTCATGTCCCAATTTTAAATAGCTTATTTATTTTTTATTTCGTTAAGTGAAAAAAATCCCCATGATATAAGACTGAGAAGTTTAGATTAAATATGTAAACTGAGGAGTCCATAATGATGCTGCTTGTATTGCCTGTAATTCATGCATGATTCCACAGCATCTCTGCTCAGAGCCTCGATGGCTCTTCCTGACGGCTTAGACAATTATTATTACTTTTTATTTCTAATCCTTCATGACTCCATACTACACAATATTAACAGAGAAGTCTAACAAAATCTGTTATGACCTAAAATATGCTGGACATGCAAAGCAGATCAGTTAGCATTCCTACTTACATACAACCTTGTCTTTATATTACTCCGATGCCTCCATAGTACATTAAAATGTTCAGAATCACAGTAGCACTTATCATAATGAATTTGGTGTTTATCATGAGTATTCATAAAATATTTCAATATTGTCACATGTGGGTATGCATGTATGAAAAACAGGTATTAAATTCCCTTACAAGCTTTAAATGCTAACAACTTCTGAGAGAGAAAGGAACAAGCACTCTGTATATAAATTACATCGCAATCATTTTTGGTTCACATGCTATTAAGGCCATTGTCATTATATTGCTCCTGGAGCAACAGATGAACTTTGTTGTTAAAAACTTCATTATGAGTAAGAGAAGTAATAAGAGGTCCTCAACAAATATTTGTTTTTTGCTTAACTGCTTGAATTAATGAACCAATGAATTACTTAATGCCTTGATAGAAAATTTCCTTTTTTTTATTAAAAATTTTTTTTATTAATATTTATTCATTTTAGAGAGAGCTCAAGTAGGGGGAAGGCAGAGAGAAAAGGAGACACAGAATCCAAAGTAGGCTCCAGGCTCTGAGCTGTCAGCACAGAGCCCGACTCAGGGCTCGGACCCACGAGTGTAAGATCATGCCCTAGCCAAAGTCAGACGCTTAACCGACTGAGCCACCCAGGCACCCCAAGAATTTCCTTCTTTTGCTTCCCATTGGCATGACAGACCATG